CTTAGACACCGTTTATATCTGGTTTGTCAGCATCACATCATACACATGAACACTGCAGGAATTAGCAAATACCTTCAGGGGAAGTTGCATGTTGAATGTTGAACTAAATTCCTTATTGTTTCCTTCCAGCCCTTATTCAGGTTTTTCTCTCATCCCAGTGAGATGATTGTAAACTGTGATGTTGGTCTGGATTTTTTTTGTTGGAAGATGTTTGGTTATAAATTCAATCTCCTTAATAAACACAGGTTTTTCTTTAAGCAAATAAAGATTTATTTTAATGTTTTTGAATTTTTTGGTCAATTTTACTAACTCATAACTTGGCTTTCATTCTTTCATATTTTGTGAAAAAAATTTCCTTAAATTTCTTTCTGCTTCATGGATTATTTTTAAATATTGCTTGACTTATAAATATTTGGGGGAATTTCCAAGATATATTTTATTGTTATTGATTTCTATTTTAAATTTGTTTATTTTAACCTCATATAAGTGTGGTACAACCATCAAAACCAGAAAGATGATATTGATATATTTACTACCATTGAATACTAATGTTCAGTTTTCACTTGTCCCAATAATGTATTTCAAGGCTAAGGATCCAGGTCAGAAATAGTCATTTTTTTTTTCTCTCCAGTAGTGAATTTTATCAGATATGAAAGAAAGAAGTAATATAAATCTTATAAAATAACTTTTAGTAAATGGAAAAATAGAGATTCCCAACTCATTTCACTAAATCAGTATAATTCACTCAATATAATTCTGATAGATAAATCAGACTGAGATGTTTTAAGAACTGAAATGTATTGATTAATCTCTGTCAATATATGAGTTGAATGAAATAACATACATTGAAGGAGTAACTATAATATCTATAATATCTAGATTAGTGGAGCTATTTATTTACTTATTTTTAACAACTATTCTTGGATGATAAGATAAAAACTGTAAAACTGTTCCTTATGATTAGAAATTTTAATTGACCTTATTTATTTTAATAAGTAAACATTACCAAAAAGCTATATAACTGGCTGGAAATTTCTTAAAAAGATCGTAGTAGGGTGACTAAGAAAACATGTTTAAATTGATTGAGGAAAAAAAATTAAAATATTTATATTTTCTTATTGATAAGCCAATTATCCACATCAAGGATTGGTTGTCCTCAGTTGTGCCTTAGTTACGGACTAACCAAATGTGGAAATTTTATTGGTCTCACTGTTTTCTTCTTTAATATATTAAAGTTTTTCTTCCTCTTCCTATTCTGTGGATGCTCAAGTTACTGTGACTCTATTCTTTCTATCTACTCACTCCCTCTGGGAGTTTATCTACTTACATTCTGCTGGTGTTCTTAAAGCAAAGTACTTAAATCACAGCACAGAAGGAGGTTTTGCAAAAATGATCTAATGTCATCTCTATCTGCCTTCTATATATTAAGAAAAATGTAATTTGCTGTAGCAGTACATGGGTTTTTGACTCATTGTTACACTACTGCAAAGAAGGATCTTTGATCTTATTGTGTATTGATGAATTAAACATAGTCTGTGTCTACTTTCAAGACATCACTAAATAGTCCTAAAATGACAATTCCTTTTCAGTTGCATTTTTCAAGTTTTGAATTAAAATATTGTGTTTTTCCTTTTTGAACATCATGAAGATCCTGCAGTTGAACAAACTTTATACTAAAAAAAAAATTATAGTACTGAGAAAAGGTATCTTCTCACCTTTTAAGAAGCTTTAATTTTAGTTTTACCCACAGTATTATCCATACCCTTAGTCAATCAAAGTGACAAGGACTCATTATTAAGGAGCAGTTACAAATTTCTTTTGGTTTTCTCTTAATTATATATTTTGTTGCATAAAATCACCAGCAATAGTTTCAAAATTAATCTGGGATATTTTGTTTTACTTTCAACTTTATTCTTCCTCAACTTTTGGGCATGCAGATTAAAATATAGATCAAAGGCCAGCAGCATAAAATTATAAAATAGGTTACAAAATAACAACATGATTCATACTTTGCAAACATATATTTATTTAATGATTGCTAATTGAGTATCTTCTTTATTGATAGCAGTGTTCGACCTTGAACTTACTGTCCCAGCCCAGGTGCAGTTGCTTCATGTTGATTATATCCCCATTGCTAAGTAGCTCATATATTAAGGCCAGAATTAAGGGTTTTCTGATATATGTAGCTTCATCCTATAGTTGGCTGGGAGATTTTGATATCCAGAAAGTAGGGTAACTCTCCTACCAAACTTTCTGCTCTGTAAATATGACAAATATGTCCTTTAACTAAAAATTTCCTCAAGAATCATTTATTTCTCAATGTAAACAGTATTCAGCCCTGAGTATTGAGCAATAAAATCAGGAACTTAATATTGTTGATTCGTCAGTATACTTGAAAAAAAATCTATGTAAGAATGGTATGCACTTACATCAGTTATAATTGCTTTATGTAAGTGAAATTAAAATACCTATTTTAGTATTTTTAATTGGCTTTTGGAAAAACCAGTAGCTGAAATTAGCTTAATTACAGATATTAATTGGCCACAATGTACAACTTGTCAGAAAAAAAGTAGAAAACAATTAAAACAACTCATCTCAGAAAATATCATCAACCTAAGTTAAATTATAAAATCCTTTTATTTACATTATCTAAGGGTTGACTAGCAGGGTGAGTTACCTTTTCATTTATTGTAAAAGTATGAAAGCTTAGTTTCACATACTGAAACTGTTTTTAAAAAGATTTTTAAAAACACATTTCTAGTTAATAAAATATGTATAACATGTAAGAATTTTTTTTTTTTTTTTGTCTGAGGGAAAAAAGTCATTATGTAATGTATGTTTTCCTAAAAGAAGTGTTTTTTTTTTTTTTTTATTGCAAGGGGTAAAAATAAATATTGTTTTAAAGCCATGTAAGTACTATTTTGCAAAATGTCTCTTTACCATGGAGCTTTGGTAGCTTAGAAACTGTGCCAGATTGGAAAATAACCAATAGAGAGAATAGGGCTGCAGAAACATTCAGACAGGCAGATTGGGCCATGTATTAAAGGTGGAGATATATCCTGCCAGGTCATTCGAAACCTCTGAATTATAAGTGATAAATACTAGACCAAAAAGAGAATACAGACAATTCAGCAAGGGGAATTGAACAAATGTAATTAAAACTCTACTGTAATACCAGAAAATTTGAACCTACAAGGTATTTTTTTTTGCTTTATCTCATTTACCTTTCTCTTTATAAAATTCTTTGTGAAATATGTGACAGATCATCTTCTTGAAATGCTCGTCTTCTTGTGGTTCACCTTGTAAATGCTTTATATCCTTCCTTAACAAGCATTTTCTGAATTAGAAAATGAATCCTTGGTATCTTATTGGGTGGTGATCATCAAGGGAGTAATAGAAATTATGTGAAAATGTTTTTCATAGCAAACAGAAAAATATATGGGTATAAATCACCATTACTCAGGTAAATTTCATTAAAGGAATCTGTTTTAGTCAGCTTTTTCAGTACTGTGAACAAAAGACCTAAAAAGAACAATGTAAAGGAAGAAATGTTTATTTGGGGCTCATGGTTTCAGAGGTCTCAGTTGGTAGATGGTAACTGCATTGCTCTGTGCTCAAAGTGGGGCAGAACATCAAGACCAAAGGGCATGGCAGAGGAAGACAGTTTCTAGACGTGGCAACAAGAAAGGAGAGAGAGAGAGAGAGAGCGAGAGCGAGAGAGCGAATGCTCTGCTCACCAGAGACAAGACATATACCCCAAATGCAGGCCCCCAGTGACTTACCTCTTCCAACCACATTCTACCTATTGTTACCACTCAGTTAATCCATTTCAATGGATTAATGCACTGATTAGGTTTAGAGTTTCATAACTCAATCATTTCATCTCTGAACTTTCTTGCATTATCTCACACATGAATCTTTGGAGGACACCTCACATGTAAACCAAAACAGAACCCAAAAATCTCATTGATCTCAAGAAGTCTAGAGCACCATCAAATAAGGCACTGCTGTGGATATTTGTTAACTATATCATTTGATAAGTGTTCACAAACCTGACAAGTTGTACACATTTTGATATAATATAAACGTATTGAATGTGCCTTTTAAAGACTAACTGGAAAAATACTAATGGTTACATACAATGCACAATAGATAAGGTCCATAGGGATGCGTGTACAATAACTGAGAATTAAGTAAATAGGTGCCTTACATTGGAACCTTGGAATTTGCTATCACCAATCTAAAAGAATGTTGCTAATAAGGGAGGGAGGAAGGGGGTATGCATAAATATTTATTAAGATCATATGAGTTAGACCTGGAGGTGATTTCTTTACAGACATTATGTCCTTTAATCCTAATAGCTGTATTACAAATTCCAATGTATGCTACAACTAGTTCTTGCTGGTTCACAATAGACATGTAACCATATATTATTCTAGCTCTGAATTCCGTGATTTCATATTGATATCTTTAATCAGGCATTGAGGGAGTATTTGCAACTTTGAAATCAGCAAAAACTACAAATTAGTGCATTTTTTCACCTCTCTGTGAGCAAGTTTGTTAAACATTTAGCAGAACACTATAGGTAGGCAATAAGGAGAGTTACATACTATTTAGGTTCTAGCATACCTCCTAATTCAAAATTCTACAAGTTAATTATCTAGCAAATATTTTAGTGAATTAGCTTTCTTATCTCAGGTAGCTCTAAATATCTAATTATGTTTTACACTAGAAACTTTATCTTAGGTTACTGGTTTAGATGTTTTATATTTAAATTATTTTCACAGGGGAATTTTTTAGTTAAAACATTTTTTTATATAAATCTTTGATTTTTCAACTGAAAAAATTTTATGTTTTTGAAATAGAGAATGTGTCTACATTTCATCATGAGGAATGTTTTATGATTGAAATAATAAAAACATGAGTTATCAAGATTTATTTAAAACTATGATTTCTTTAAGATAATTTCTGATAATATTCTCTTTATTGATGTTTTGCAGTGAGGCCCACAGTAATAGAAACTGATGTTTATGTAAACAGCATTGGACCAGTTGACCCCATAAATATGGTGAGTAATTCATTTTAAAATATAGAAATCCAAAATATATGCCTTCATAATACAATGAATACATAATTTCTGATAACTGATACAGAATGAGTTCAGATTGCCATATACAAATACTCCGTGGTAGGTATATAGAATTTGAAATAAAATACCCCTTATCTAAAAACTAGCATGTTATTCCAATATACTGAATTTGGTAAGACTATTCTATGGCACATATGAATGTCACCTGATCCATCAAGAATGTGTCTCTGAAGAAATCTGGAAAAAGAAAATCAAAAGCCCTTACAGGAAAGCAGTTAGTCTGAGTTGGAGAAGGACTTCATGACAGAGAAAGCAGAGTGCCCTAAGTCAGAGAAATGAAACAGCCTCAAAAGATCAGGAGAACTTCCACAAATTTAGTGTTAACTCAGGCAAAAGGAATATTTAAGGTCCTTCTTTAGTGTGATCTTGTAAGCCATCATAATAGGAAGTGCATGCATTTTGTTATGTTTGTATGCACTTGTATCTTTTGGGGTAAGAATGTCCAGAAGCTTTCAACAAGGGTATGTCGTGGTCAGATTGATATTTTCATTATCTTACTCATAACAGTACAGAAGATGGATGTAAAAGACCAAGATAAGAATTAGAGAAACCAGTTAAGGGGTTGTTGCATTAGTCTAGGCAATAGATCTCCAAGACTTTCAAGAGTACCAATTGAGCAAAACAAACAATACCACATTTAAGAAATATTAGATGAATTTTTCAGGTTTGATGACTCAGTGGTTGTACATGGGCTGACTGAAAGGTATTAAGCTGAATAATTTTGCAGATAGTAGTGGCTTCATTTAAGATACAGGCCTATGTGTCCCAAATGCAACAGGTACACTCAGGAGGAGTTGTCCAGCAAAGATTTGTATTATAAGCCTGCTTTTCTGGGAAGATGCTAGGACTGTACATTGGCATAGATCAGGAAGGAAAAGGGGGCAAGCAGCATACATTTATCTTAAAACCACAAGAATATGTGGGAAAATCCAAGGGGATAGTTAGATTAAGAAAAGCACTGGTTTGAGGATCAGACTGTATAATAAGATCAATGTGTGTAAAATACAGGTGGAATAAAGTTCAGAAAGGGGGCATAATCCGGTAAGTCAGAGGGGTAGAAGAACCAAGAAAAGAAGACATATTATTCTCTAAGGGGTTAAAAAGAACAACAAATAGAGGAATAGTAATGAATTGCCCATGTACCTTAAATTAAATGAGAAATAGATTAAATGAGGCCTACTGGAATTAACAATTAGGTGGTGTTTATCTCTGTTAGATGAAATTTGTTAAAATGGTGTATTAGTCATGGTTCTCTAGAGGAACAGAATCAACAGGAAGTATGATAATAAAAAGGGAATTTATTAGATTGGCTTACACAACCAGAAGCTGGTAGTCCGCAATAGCCATCTGTAGGCTGGAGAGCTGGAGGAAACAGTAGCAGCACAGTCCAAGATGCTGAAGCCTCAGAACCAGAGGGATCAATGTTGCTATCCTAGTCCAAGACTGAAGGCTTCTGGAGATTCCCTGGAGAATCACTGGCAGAGTCCACTTTGGAAGATTGAAGGAGTGAGAGTCTGACATCCTCAGGCAATCGCAGCAACAATCAAGACCCCATTCAAGAAGCATCTAGCTTGCATCTGCTGCAGCTTCCCTGTTCTTTCAACTTTCATTCTCATCCAAGCCTCCAACGTTATTGGATAGTCCTGCCCCCACTTAGGGAGGGTCTTCACTTCACTCTCCCACATGCCAATCATTCCTAGACACAGTCTCACTGACACACCCAGAAGCCTCTTAGTCTTCAGCATCTCTTTATCCAATCAAGTTGACCATTTAAATCAACCATGACATATGGTGAAGGTAGGGAAAAGAAACCCGTTGAATGGAACCTCATCTTCCATCTTCAGAACTGGTCCCATTATTGAATGTTAGTGCCCTGAGCACTGAAGATACAGATAGGTCCTGCTAGGACAGTTATGTAATCAGAAACTGGTTTGAGGTGCTGAGGAGGGAGTAGGATTGTGGATTTAATTTTATGAACAAATTATTCAAGAAACTTGGCCTAGAAGAGGATCAGATAAGAGTACAGGGGTAGACAGGAGGAATAAGTTCTAGTGCTTTGGAGCATGGAATGACTATAGTTTACAACAATTTATTATGTTTCATGAGGAACTAGAATAGTTCAAATGTTCCCAGTACAAGGGAATTATAAATGTTTCAGGAAATGGAACTCCTAAGCATCTTGATTTGATCATTATAAATTATATATAAGTATCAAATCACCACACTGTAGCTCATAACTATGTAAAATTATCATGTATTGTGTTAAAAATTTAAAAAAAAAAACACTCTTAAGAATATGGAGGTGGAGAAGGTACAGAGAATGAGAGAATAAGAAAATATAGAGAGGGACATTTAAGAAGGAAACAATGAAGTGCGCTATTTATTTTTTATACATAGAGTTTTATTATTATTTGTGATACTATTTGAAGGACTAATTTATAATAAACAACAGAAATTATTAAAAATAGACTGCAATGTTCTGCTTCAATTCCTATTACACCCTTTCTGTGATTTAAACTATAGGGTCCTATGTAATGGACTCATCGTGTTGTACTGTTCATCTCCTTTGATTTTTCTATGGGTATTATTAGTCTTCTAGGGTTGCCTTAACAAAGTAGTAAAAAATGTGACATTGAAGCAACAGCTCAGAGTGATGGCTGGCCTGGTTTCTTCTTAGGCCTTTCTCTCTGTAAATGGTCATCTTATTGAGCATCCTCACATGGCTTATCCTCTGGGATTGTTCATCCCTGGTATCTCTTTGTATCAAATTTTCAGTTCTTATTACAAGTCAAATTGGATTAGGACCCACCCTGAGGGCCTCATTTTAAAATAATATTTTCTTAAAAGGCCCTATCTCCAATTATAGTCGCATTCGGAGATACTAGATATGAGGGCTTCAGCATGTGAATTTTGGGGGTAACTCAATTCAGCCCAAAGAAAATTATCTGACATCAAAGATAATTCTCTGACATTTTGCTGATGTTCTTCCTCACTTAATTTATTCACTTATTACTAGAGTGAAAAATTATCTTTTTATTGCAGGCATTAATCACTTTATACCTGGGGCACCATCCTAATATACTAAACTCTGCCTGTGTTCCCTTATTCCTCTAGTATGATAGCCACACTCCATTTTTCTCCTCGTAAATATGATGCTCACGTCCGTAACTGGCATTCACTTTCACAGCTGTTTGCACTGATTTCTGTAGTGACAGCATGTGAGCCATGGCGTAACTGACATCTTTGTCACCATAATGTAAATGAATAGGAACTGGCTGTGGATAGATTGATTCTGAGAGGATGGAGGGATGTCCTGATAGTCTGGCCCAGAAGTTGCTCTTAAATTAGGAGCTCACACCATGGAAATATGGGGCTGAAGCCAATCTTTGTAAGAAATTTGCTAAACCTCTGCAAGAAAAGGGAAAGAACCTTAACAAAAAGGAAAGAGGAAGAAAAAAAAAGCAGGGGGGATGAATAGCAGACTGTAGGAACCCATCCTTTTAAGGATGTGAGAGCTGAGGTAGTAAAAGAAACAACAGATTTGGCAAGAAAATGAAGGTACAATAGTGCCAACAAGAAAGAAAGGGAATAGGAAGTTTCAATGAGATTTTAATGTGAGCTTTGCCCCAAATTCCTATACAATCTGTTGATTTTTATAAAGAGAAAACATGTTATGTACCTGTGTGTAATAATGTTAAATTTTTAACATCATGCAAAGAAGAGTTTCCTAAGGTAATACATTATTTAAATATTAATTTTTCTTTTGAATCCTAAAATATTCCGTTTCTAGGTAACCAATACCTGGAGAAGATAAGCCTATTGAGCATGTGATAAACTCTGCATTTTCCTGAATTAGGTATTTTTTTTGTTGTGAGGTTTTGTTTTCAACTTTCCAAAATTCATTAAGTAACAACTGTAGTTATTAAAATAAAGAGACGTAAGATTCAAAGCTCTATCAGTAATCTGGAAACTCTTTGACATGAATGGGTACCCAGAGGCTTCTATGATAATCTTCCTCTATAAAAGATTCATGCTAGTATAGGTTTTGTTTTTCCAGTAGGGCAAATTACACACTTGTAACCTTGGACAGTGATACTTTTTTAAAAAGCTAATTAAATGAAATTGCTATTGAAAATAGTGATAGTAAAACAAGTTATCGAAAACTCTATGGAACAGTTATAGTGTTTATTAAAGAAAAGCATTGTCAAAGAAGGAATTAATAAGAAGCTCACATAGTAGACTATTTTAACTAAACAATGCAGGAAAATTAGAATTCACTTTTCATAAAATGAACAAAATTGCTTTGAATGTGAGTGTAATCAAGCAAGGAAACTTGAGCATAATTAAGCAAGCAGAAAAGTAGTAATTTTTTTTTTTTTTTTTTTAGTTTCTCTTCTTAACTACTCATACAATTGAAGTGGCTGGAAGGAACAAAATTAAAATATTGGCTTAACTGTTTTCTTTTTTTTTTAAGTTAGCCAAAATTTCCTTTGTTGCAAGGTGGATGTTTCTTTTGAAGCTTGGCTACATAAAATAACATTTCTTTAAATTACTGATAAGCCTAAAACATCATTCTACAATAAGATTTGTTTTTCTTTTCTGTTTCCAGGATTACATTGATATTTTCAATCTCACTGTCCCTATCAAAAATATATTCAATAATTACATCTTAAGTGATGAGTGAATCAGTCAATGAGTCGATCATTTCTTTAATTCTCTTTTTAAGAATTTATAGTCAAAAAGCAAAAACATTTAATGAAAAAATGGAGTGACTCAGGGAGTTCCACTTTATGTTCCAATTAAATATATCTTACACACAAGTAGAAAAAAATATGCAAGTAGAACTGAAGGCGAGAGAGAGTTAATAGTATTAAGTTAGACTAGAATTGAAGCATGTTTTAATCACTTAGCTTTACAAG